GTCCTTCCTTCCTTCTGCCCTTCCATCCTTCCTTCTTTTCTTCCTTCCTTCTTTCCTTCTGTCCTTCCATCCTTCCTTCTTTCCTTCCTTCCTCCCTCCTTCTATCCTTCCATCCTCCCTCTCTCCCTCCCTCCCTCCCTCCTTCCTTCCTTCCTTCCTTCCTTCCATCAGTCTCGGGGCCTGGGTGCTGTCCCTGAGCTCTTTTGCTCAAGGCTAACGTTCTCTCACTTTGAGCCACAGCACCACTTCTGGTGTTTTGGTGTTTAATTGGAGCTAAGAGTCTCATGAACTTTCTTGTCTGAGCTGGCTTTGAACCATGGTCCTCAGATCTATGAGCTACCAGCACCAGCCTGTTACCATGCTCTCTTTGGGGAGGTAAATACAGGCTTTGTAAAGCCAGTGTAAGAAATGCCCACTTCATGTTTAGAAGGGAAAGTTTATTCTAAAAACGTCTATGGCATAAAGTTTGGCAACTGAGTGAAACACCCACCAATAAGCAGATTGTGTCTGGGCTGAGAGAGCAAATGCTTTGCCCCTTTCCTTCCCACACTGGCCCACGTTCCATTTACCCATCGACATTCTACTTTGCTTCAGGCTAGGAATGCAAGGCTCACTGGTCAATGAAGGCTTCAGCCTGTAGGGCTGAAGACAACCTAGTACACAGAGCATGGAGTCCCATTCCCTGAACTTTTCCTTAGCCAAAGTTTGTAACTCCACCAACTTCTTTGGTCTTGAGTAAATATTAGTAAGTTCTGAATTTAACTTCTGTAAAAATTAGATTCGTTTAGTGTTTACAGAAGCAAAACCATGGAAAACACGCATGCAATGTGATAACGTGAAGCTGTGTGTGCTTTTAAAACTTGGTGTGGTAATGGAGACAGACACTATGCCATTTATGGAGTGTTTGCTTGCATTCTTTAACTCATTCTAGTTTACTACCACTGTCGTATAGAGAGGGGCTTTATCATTTAATGGGAGGGAAAAAAATGTGCTAAGAGCATATCAGTTACCCCTAAGCAACTCATTTCATACGAATAAGGGTTCAAAGAGAAAAACGATTCTCTTGACTCCAAATATGTTTTTGCCTTAATTTTTCTAGGCATTGTGTCTCCTCCTCCTACTTTTTTTGGTGCTTATCCTAGGGCTTGAACTTATGGACTAGACACTGTCCCTGAGCTTTATTGCTCAAGGCTAGAGCTCTACCACTTGAGCTACAGCCCCACTTCCATAGTAGTTAATTAGGGATAAGAGTCTCATGGACTTTCTTGCTTACGTTAGCTTTGAACCATGATCCTCAGATCTCAGCCTCCTGAGTAGCTAGGATTACAGGCCTGAGCCACAGGCATCTACTTTCTCCTACCTTTGCTATCTCAGTTGAGTAGCAGGAAAAGGCTCTGTGAAATATATTCCACATTTGCTGCATTTGTGGAAGATAAATCCTAAGCTCAGTCTCTCGAGATGTGTTTAATACATGTTGAGGAGACATCTGACATATTGGAAGAGAAAATATTATATTTAAAATTCTCTGCTTTGGCAGGCTAAATTTCAGCTCATTTAAACATTCATTATTTCAGCCAACAAAGTAACAGACTAATCTTATAATCTTGAGAAGGCATTGGAAGCCTTTTTTAACTTAAGCTATAATAATCTTTCCTTAGCATTGTTTTATTTTAACCAAATGCTCACTAAAAGAAGACGAAATATTTTATACTAATGAGGCTGAGCACATCAGCACTTGAATTCTAGAGCCTGAAAATGGGAAGGCACTTGAAGAACTATTTTTTTTCATTGTACCTAGGGAATAAATTAACCATAAAATATTCTATTCATTTCTAAAATATCTCAGAAAATGAAATGTATGCTTTCAATAATGCATTCCAGGCTGTGGTGTTGGCTCACTTAAGAACTGGGTGCAGTTTCTAATTGGGTAGAAATGATCAACATACTCCGAGGCCAAGGACCAGCCCCCCATCAGGCCCTGAGTCCGATGACACCTTGATCTTGAGCGATGAGCAATTACCTCTTCTATAGGCCATGTTATTGTAAGTCCTAATAGGTGAGGCCCTGCCGTTTTAGTTTCCATGGGGTTCTCCAAATGGAACGGCGATGACCATACAATGGGCAGATAAGAAAGGGTGTCTCCACCCGCTGCTGAGAGAACCCAAGCAAAGGGTTCAGGCCTTACCTGAAATGGGTTAAATGTCTCTGGATGTCGAGGTCGAGAATGGGAGTAGGTCTGGAAGATCCGAGTGGTGACCGGTCTTGACTCAGGAGGTCTTGGAATTCTTTACAAATTTGTCTAAAAGGAAATATAGGAAATAATTGAAACTCTTGAAACTGGACCTTTTCCCTTTTTCTGTTTGTCAATTGCTATTGCAAAGGTGATATACAGAGGGGTCACAGGTACGTAAGTCAGGTCGTGAGTACATTTCTTTTCGGACAGTGTCACCTCCTCCCTTGTTTTCTCCAAGTTTTCCTCTGCCGACCCCCGTATGATTTATTTTCCACGTAGTGACTAGTGAGTATCACCACTGCATTCGTTCACCCTTTAACCCCCTCTCCTCAAAAGAGAGAAACTTACACATAAGACCAAAGATACAGAAAACAAAGCAATAACAAAAAACAAAATAAGGAAAAAAATCCCTTGGAGTTCATTTTGATAAACATTATTTCGCATGATCATATGTACATAGCTATTGAGTCATGGAATGATACTTTACTAGTGATTTTTATGTCTTTGAAAGAAATCTCTGAAGATCCACCTACAGTATAGAGTTCAGGTTCACTGTGGTGATTCTGAGATTAAGGACTATAAAGAGATTTGAGGCAAATAACAGTCCTTAGGCACTGAGAAGGTCAAAGTTCATCTTTTCAAGTGAATATTCATAGGTTAATCTTAGGTTAAAAAATCAGTGACAAAGGATTATAATTCATAAGTGCTCTTTAGGAAAATTAAAATTTGACTTTAGGACTATCAGATCTGTAAATGAATTTCACTGAAGTTATAGGCTTATATCATTCAGACCTGCAACGTAAGTTGATGTTAGAAAAAAATTTCACCCCCCAGATATTGTATTATTTTACAGACTCTCATGGACTAATTTCATGCTTAATGTTTTAAGCAAGTAAACTCTTACCCAAAGATTAGTTATTGGTCTCACACAAACTGTAATATTATATTTCATTCAAGCTGATAGCTTCCAAAAAAAATGCTCTGTAGGACATTTTTTTCTGCTGTTTTTCTTGCCTTACATGATTCTGAATTCTGCTTATTAGTCAAGAGCTTGGCTGTGTATGTTGAATAACAATAATCTGAATGATGAAATTCTAAAGAAAGAATATATGGAGAAGGCAACGACAATAATACGCAATACAAGATGGTGCCAGTGCCTTATTCCTGTAATCCTAAACCATTCAGGAGGCTGAGATCTGAGCATTGCAGGAAAGTCCGTGAGACTCTCATCCCCAGTTATCTACCAAAGAAGCCAGAAGTGGAGCTGTGGCTCAAGTGGTAGAGCGCTAGCCTTAAGCACAAAAGCCCAGGAAACAGCACCCAAGCCCTGAGTTCAAATACGAACAAATGACAACAACAAAAACCCCAAATCCAATTAATCCAGCGAGTAATGCTGCCCCTAAAGAATGAACTCAAGAACTATCATAGATGCCACGAATAACTCAAAACCAACCCTCATATGGACAGGAAGGAACCAGATGCAAGACTTTTCTCTCACTCTATACAAAAAAATCAGATAAAATGAACCAAAGACCTTAGTCTAAGACTTCAAACTTTGATATTTGCACTGGAAAGCACAGGGCAAACACTTTAAACTACAGACATAGACGTAAAGAGCAACTATATACAAGAAATACAGTCAAGGCGCATTAATCACGTTTAAATAATTAAGTGCAACTTTACCTAGGTATTTTTTGCAGTTTCCTGGAGACAGTAGCATCATCTAGGCTATTATTTGTTATTTAAGAGAGATACATTGCTATTTTGGTTTCTAAAAATTTAAATAGAGCTTCATGAAATCATTTTTTTTCTGACTAGTAGCTCAACATTATTTCCATGTTCTCTCTTTCTCTCCTTCACACACACACACACACACACACACACACACACACACACACACACAACTTCGAATTGTCTGAAGACTAGTTGTAAAACTTTCTCCCAGATTGAAATAAGTTTTCAGAATTTAAAGAGCAAAACATTGTTTTCGTTCTGGGGGTGTATGATACTAGGTAACTGAATAAAATAGCTTGTAGGCTGACAAATCCACCTTTTTCCTATATCAAGCTATAATAAAATTGATGAGTAAGAAAAAGGCAAAGTAGGGGAAAGTCAACTTGTGCTACATAATCCAACAACACCACACATTAGAATTCATATCTTGGATATTTCATTCTACTGCCTACCTCACTGACATGACATAGTTTCTAGAACTGAATAAAGGTGATCGTTTCTTCATAGGCAATTATTGTCATTGACTCATTATTACAGTTCCAGTTATTATTTTTATGACTAGCTCGATTCTTAAAGTTTGGTTTCTGGAGCTATAGTGTGAGATATTCTTACATCTCAAAACAAAATGTCATACTATGAATTATATAACACTAACTAATCTTCGCTGAATCATACATTCTAACTTTATCATTTACGTCATTGTTCTTGAGCATGTCTTTTTCTTTTGTAAAGTTGATTTCTGGATTTAAATTTCTGTCTTTCTCCTACTGACAGTTAGGAGAAAGTTTAAATGTTCACTTTTCTGCCTTATCTTAACATAAACACAGAAATGTAAAACATAATTCTAAATTTAATGAAGACGTTGTCATATGTTTTCTATTAGCCAAGTAAAAAGTAGTTTGTCTGGTATGTCTATAGAATTCCAAAAGGCATCTCAGCTTCTCATCTTACACCAAGATATTTGGTATGAAATGGAGAAGAATTATGAGACCAAAGACCCTTAATGGGCCTTTTATACAAGTGTAAACTGAATACAACAGACTTAAACAGAACAAAGTCTGTCCCTTGTCCAGGTGCAAAAGAAACCAATAGACCACTTGATCCAAGACCACCAGCAGTTGGATCTTGGGTTCAACAAATTTGGTTTTAATATTATATATTTTGAATATGTATTTCAATATATATTATATATACATAATCCTCTATATATATATACATAGAGTATTATCTGGTTGAATTCACTACTTTCAAATGAATGTCTCATGACAACTTCAACAAATCTGGAAGTATTAATCTGGAAGGATTTCTCTTATTCTGTGGGAAGAACATCTCATTAACAGTTTGAATGCACTGAAAGACTCCCACGCTCTTGCACAGAATGACGGTGGTCTCCCGGGGAAAGAAACCTGTGTGTGGAAGGCTGTGGAGGTTGAGGTGAGATTACACAACTTCCTGGGGAAGTGGAGTCTGGGGGAGGGGGGTCTCTTTGGAGCAGCGAATGTAACTCTTAGAATATGCATGAGGAAACCACACCCAGACAGTCTTCAGAAGGAGAATAATTGAAAGTGTTTCTTTTTGGGTACTATGTGATGGGAGACAGCAGACCCACTGGGTCACCAGCAGCCACTCCAGCCGCCCGCCAGCTGACAGGCCCCCAGAACACCTGGAGACACCATCTGACCTCTGAAATGATAACGTTCTCAGGACCTGTGATAGGTTTGACCTTTCCTCTGAGGTGATGAAATCAGTTATACTTGGCAACTCTGTGTTTTCAGCTCTTTTCCGAGAAATGGCAACATAACCAATGAAGACCTTCTGAGTTAAGTAGCTATTTGTGCCAGGCTCTGTAATCCCAGCTACTCAGGAGGCTGAGGTCTGAGGGTTACAGTTCAAAGTCAGCTACAGCAGCAAAGTCCATGGGACAGACTCTTATCTTCAATTGACCAACAGAAGTGGATCTGTGGCTCAAGTGGTAGAATGTTAGACTAAATATAAAAGCTCAGAGACAGTGCCTAGGCCCTGAGTCCAAACCCCCTAGGGGGTGGGAAGAGGGAAAGGGGAGACAAGGAAAGCCAGGAAGAGTACAAACAAAATGGAAACAAAGACCAAAGGTCTAGATAGAGATCTTCCCACTAAAATGTTGTCAGATATATTGAACAAGGACAGGGTTTATCACCAAATTTTATGTCTTAAAATTTGTGTGTGTGTGTGTGTGTGTGTATGCAGTGTGTGTATGTGTGTGTGTGTGTTTATGGTGTGTGTGTGTTTATGGTATGTGTGTGTGTGTGTTGGTCTGCATTCTTTGCTTTCTTGGTCCACTTAGCCTTTTCCCCCCCCTCTTTGCCTCTACTTTAGTTTTATTCATTTAAACAGGATGAGAGAATTCTCCAGAACTCTCCAGAAAGCAAAGCATAAACATATTCCTACACCCTACAGTATGAACCAGAAGGGTGTATGAGCACTGTGTAAAGTCTTGAGAATTGTGGGTGCGCTCATTAGCTGACTCATCCCCCACACCAACCCCCGAGTTTGTACATTTTCTGAGTTACATTAAGCACTCGGGGAAGTGGGACTATTTACTTTGAGAATTATGCATTCTGACTCGGCTTAAATTTTAGGCAGCGCTCGGTACAGAGGGAGATAATTATTATTGTGGCCGTTTCTAAGAAATAATGTTTGTAACACTATATTCTACAAAAGTTTCTCTTTAAACATCTTTCCCAAGTTAGTTATAAATGCTGTTGCATCCACCTTGAACTAACCACCTGGAACAATCTCTCCTAAAATCTGATTATAGAGCCAGAAAATTATCTAAGATGATTAGCTGCAGCATCTGGGTTCCATACACTGAAGACGAAAGAAGTATTTTTCTCCAAAACCCTTGAATGAATTACAATGGTATTTCAGGTCTGTTGGGGTTTTCACACCATAAGTAGAAATTTCCCCATAAATGATCAAAGAACTTTCTGGAGTTGTAGAATTTGGAAGCCTTCTGATGTCTCATTTCCTATGGTGTCGGTAGATTTGCCAACCTTAGTTTAGTTATTTTAACTTGCATTTTAGTTGGGCTTAGTTTCTTATGTATTATATCCCTTTGGTTTGGGCTTTTCTTTGTCTGAGTTTGAACTCAGAACCTTGTAGCGTCAAAGGGTAGTGTGGTGCTACTTACGGTAGGCTCCTCCCTCCCTTTAGTTTATTTTTCAGGTAAAATCTCATTTTTTTTGAGGGGGGCCCTGGAGCTGGTCTCAGACAATGATCCTCCTTCTTCTGAGATCCCCGACAGCATGTGCCTATAACTTTATTTTATTATTTAGCTTTTTGGTACCAGTCCTGGGGCTTGAACCCAGGGTCTTTAGCTTTTTCACTCAAAGCTAGAACTCTACCACTTAAACCACAGCTCCATCTCTGCTTGTTGAAGATAAGAGTCTCATGGACTTTGCTGCCTTGGCTGGTGTTGAATTGGGATCCTTAGATCTCTCTTCTTGAGTAGCTAGGATGACAGGTGCGGGCCACTAGGGCCCCGGTAATACCTTTACTTGGAAATAGTTGCTTTGGGGGAGTCAGTGCAGGGCGTTTTGGCTTAATTATTCACAAGAAAAGATGGGGCGCTGAGCTGCTGCTGGTTCTTGGTTCTAGAAGTCTTTCTTTCTCTGTCTCCATCTTTCAACCCCATTCTTCAGGCATAGTGTTCTGAGACCTTAATCATCATTTATTGAAGGGAACAAGGGAGACTTCCTGCAACCTTCGTTACTTCAACACCTTTGGAGTGGTTTGTAGCTATGGCTTGGGGCACATGGGCGGTAGCGTTTGTTGCATGGTTTCCCTGCTGGAGTGTGAACCCGCGCGTGATAGAAAGCGAGGGCTTTCTATACTGTGTCCCTCGCTCTCGGATGAGAGAGGCCTGGGCAGCTTACTTGGTGGCTAGGATCATCTTCTTCCGTGCTGTCTGCTCCTTCTGTTCCATGTGCTGTCGGGCGAGATGCTCTCCTACTGCTTTGGCTGGAAACTCCGTTTCACACGTGTAGCCAAAATCCCGCGCAAGGTGCAACGCTTCCCCTGGTGGCAGAGAACACAAGTCAGTTTCTTCAACACCCAGACTTGTAACACCAATAACTCGCCTGGTCCCCTAGGCTTAGGCCTGCTTCTGGTTCAATATGGTATTCTTTTTTTTCTCCTATTTATGCTAAACATAGATGTCCAGGGAGGAAAGATGAGGAAGAGCTGAGGAACGGAGAAGGAACTTTCTAAACCATGTAATGTGGTCAATCAAGAGGCAAAGACAGAAACACAGCCCAGGAGCTCTGTCTCTGCGCACAGTCTGACCCATTAACCACACTGACATTTAAGACACGGTAGAATTAATTCCCAAGGACAAACTTCCACAAATGTATTTTGTTTCCCAACTCCTGTGCCTTCTTATCAGTCTCCCCGAACTCCTCCTAATGCCCAGGACACCTACCAAAACAAATGTCCAGCAGAGAGTCCAAATAACTTTTCAAGATAGTACATTGGAACAAAAATAAATAAATAATACCATGTTCATAACAATACATTGCAAAAGATAGTATAGTACATGATTAGAGAACTAGCTACAATACATGATAGCATGAAGTACAGTGTTACAAGGTTACAAAATTGTGCATACTTCAGTAAATTTGTTTTTGGTCAGTCATGGGGCTTGAACTCTGGGCCTGGGCACTGTCCCTCAGCTCTTCAGCTCAAGGCTAGCGCTCTACCACTTGAACCACAGAGCCATTTTCGGCTTTTTCTGCTTATGTAGTGTTGAGGAATCAAACTCAGTGCCTCAAACATGCAAGACAAGCACTCTACCACTGATCCACCTTCCCAGCTCCTTTTAGTAAAATTTTAAGAAGTGCGGTGGAAATATCTTACCTGGAAAAATAAGATTTAATAATGAATGTTTGCCTAGAAAACCATAGTTAGTTTTTACTATAAATTTTTTTACTATAGTTTTTACTATAAAAGCTTAGTCAAAGCAAACCTAACCTGATAATGTAGACTTATTTAAAAATCCAGCTATCATTATACTGGAGGTATTGTTCTGTGATGCAGGGATTGCTTAGTATGTGTACGTGCCAGACTTTAGGTTTGATCCCTAACAACTTAAACATTCACATATACATGTGAACACACACACACACACACACGTATGAAACTTCTACTTTACCGCCTTTGTTCAAGGTACAACAGTCAGCAGATGAAAAGGGAGAGAGAGAAAAAGGGATAGGAAAGATTGTTGTCATAGCAATAGTAGTTTCAATGACACCAACAAGATGCCCTATATTATAGTAGCATTGTATAGTTTTCTCTGCATTTACATAAACATCATCTTTGATTGTGGATGGTTGCTATAATGGTGACCTTATGATATGTAAAAAGAAAGAGGTAAAAAAAATGGTATGAGGAGGAGGAATGAGTTAAGGCAGTGATCATGGGAGATGATCAAACAGAGACATAACGAATTAAACTTTGTCATGAAGCGATCAAAAGATCTCAGGCTTGATGACAAAAATCCCAGGAACCTTGTTCGGTGCTTGGCCAAGAAGTGGTGGGGGTAACGCATTTTGGGATAGGCAGAGTCGGAGAGTCCATACAAGGAATGAGGATAAATAAGAGGAGAAAGTGCTGAAAGATGAAAGCTAGGTGAAACAAAACTACTTTCAGCAACGACACTTACTTTTTTCCTAGAAAAATAAAAGACATCATAGTCTTTCCGATTGGGAAACTCTTATTTACTAAGAAAATAAATGATTATACAACACAGAAAAGCATTTTAAGTTAAAACAGAGCAGAGAGACTAGAACCCAGGGAGAAATTACTACTATCTTCTTACAAGTAAGTAGTTCAACAAGAAATAGTAAATTCACTTTCTAAGGTTTCTTTTTCCGGACATATACATATAAAAATTCCAAGTACGCAGCAAAGCTGCAAGAATTCTGCAGTACACCCATCTTTCATAATACTCTAAGCCTGATTCTTCATTTATCTGACCATCTGTCTACACTCTACCCATCAGCTTTTATCAAGTGCAAGAAGGGAGAAGGCTGAGAGGGCACTGGGGCTCAAACACAGAGACTCGCATACACTAAGCCAGCCCTCTGCCACTGGGATACACCCCATCCCTGTTTGTGGAAGTAGGCCTGATAGCTAAACAGGAATTGATGGGGTCTGGCCTTTTGTTTATTTGACCAAAGAGAACTTTCACACATGTGCTAGGTGAATAGGCAGACATCAGCTAACATTCTGACTTGTGTTTTCAGTGTATACAGATATGAACCAAATGATTCTTGCCTATATGCAAATATGTTTAAGTTACTTATTACCACGTGATGCTGAAATTGCCTCTTGTTTGTGTATGACCCAGTCAGGCTGGAACCATTTTTCTCATTCCTACATGGTGATAGGTCCTGTTAGATGATGTCAATGAGGCTAATGTAATTACTCCTAAATTTTTAGTACAGACAAGGTTTTGAGTGTTTTTTTTCTCTTCTAAAGAACCTTTAAAATAAACAATAGCAAATCTGCAATTGAAATTTTCATACTAGTGAGGTAGAAAACATCATTACTCCCCTCTGTACAGCATGTTCACAAAATAAAATAAAATATAAAAAAAAGAAAACATCATTACTTCTTTTTTCAGTTTGCTTTATCTCATTTTATTTTTTATTATTTTATTCTAAATTTGTGTGTGTGTGTGTGCTGGCACTAGGATTTGAACTCAGGATGTCTTCTCTTGATTGGCTTTTTCACTCAAGGCTAGTACATTACCACTTGAGCCACAGCTGGACTTCCAGCATTTTGTGGGGTAACTGGATATGGCTTTTCTGTCAGGTCTGGCTTTGAAACGAGATTAGTGTGAGTACTGCTGGGTTAGTGGAGAATCACTAAGGCTGAGGCTGAAACAAATAAGCAACATTTTAAAGGTGATTTTGCCCAGTACTTCATTAATGTAAGAAAATAGTAGAGAAAACATACACCTATTTGGTGGACAAATATGACAATGCATTGCTATGTAGAATCATCTTTTCTTTTCTTTTTTGCTAGAAATATGAACAAGGGAAAGTATTGAGAAATTTAAAAACACCAAAGTGTGACTCACCAAATAGTGTTCCCACGCCCTTCCAGAAGATAAACTCCTGGCTGTTCCCAGGCTGTGTTGTTTTGTAAGTAACTCAGTAACACTATGTGTAATTCCAACACATCAGGTTGTATATCTGGGATAGCTGCACAATGCACTGCTAGCACAGATAATTAAAGAGCATTTGGACAGCAGCATGCCTCTTGAAGTTCCTGCTAAAACCCGATTCTCCATAATCTGCTTGGCTTTATGTAGATCTCTGGCTCACGGTGTGGCGGTTACAGAAACAGTTTGAGTGGAACAGCTGCTATTTACATCTACACCGACAGCCAGATCCTTCCTTCCCTTCTTTCTGTTTACTGCTTCCACCCCCCTCCCGCATGTCATGAAACATTGTTACAGGATGCAGAGCAATGCTACATCAAAAACAAAAAAAGTGGCGAGTGAAGACACTGATATCCAGTTAAAGCATGTATCTCCTGCCACAGAAGCCTGGTGGGTGAAGATCCAAAGATGAACCAGAAAATGGATGCATGAATTAAAATACATGTGCTGTTAAAAAGACAAGAAAAATATAAAGTCAGATTCCTCAATACTACATTAAAGAAGTGGCAAGTGCAGACTCAGAGATCCAGTGTAAGGGTCTATCTCCTGCCACAAGAGCTTTGTGCATGAAGATCTAAGAATGAACCAGGAAATGAATCAATAAATTAAAATACATACGCTATTAACACGCACATACAACACAAAGGCTCAAAGCCTAGGCGCCTCTGATCATATGAAATATTTATCGAGATGAACTCCAGGAAGTGAAACAAGAGTGTTTTTTCCCTCCATTGCTATTTTTCTTTTCTTTTTGTTATGTTTGTTTACCTGTCTTTGGGAGGGTAAAGGGGACACGGAAATGGAGGCGCAAAAGGTGGACAAATGCAGCAGTGGTATTCACTAGACACTGTGTTAAAATGAACTGTGCAACGTGTGGATGGAGGGAAAACCTGGGAGAGATCTTGGGAAAGGGTGACACTGTCCAAGAAGAAATGTACTCTTTACCTGACTTACATAACCCCTCTGTAGAACAACCCAGAATAAAGAAAAAACGTACATACACACACAGACAAAACCCATCATGTTAAATTCTCCACGGCAGATAACTAAGAGTTAACAGGTTTAGAGGGGAAAAAAATCACAATTTTAGGATCATACAAGCATATGAATAAGCCTCTAAGAGTTTTGACCGATGTGCGACAGTAAGGACCTATGAACTATGGCCTGTGAGCATCTATGACCTGTGAACTATGGTGCACAGCGAAGCCCAGACACAGCAGCCTGGGGTGGAGCAGAGCCTGCCAGGAGGGACCGGGCATGCCTGGCATAGCAGCGGGGTCCATGCGTACCCCGGCAGATGGGCTTAATATCCAAAGTGCAAGGCTCTCTGTTCCACGTGTCAAGTCATTGTTCCCCACCCCTTCCCAAAAGTAGAGCCAGTGGAAGATATTCGCTTTTCCAACCATGACAGTAGCAGCAGGTGCTGATGTGCTCAACAACTCCATGGATGTGGGCAGACGTAAGTTATAGAACATGGGGAGAACATTAAAACAATGCTCTCTGGATTTCTAGGAATTATTTTCCATACTGGAAAGCAAAAAGTAACAAGAAAAAGCTAGTAAAAAAAAAGTGATGAGGAAAAATGTAAGTGCCCCATCAACGCTACCCTGCATGAAAAGTGAATGGCAAAATAGTTTCTGCAGATAAGTAGGGCGGCGTGTTCTGTGGAGATCCTGGTCTTGCAAGGAACAGATAGCTCGAAGTGTGCTTTAAATTAGAAGACAAAGAACCTGATTTTTAATTTTTCCTTTTTAAAAGAAAACACATTTTTACTGTATTTTGGGGAAAATGTTCTTTACATAACTAAAAGTAAATTTTGAACCCTAATTGGAACAAAGTAGTACTTCTGTACTGTGATTCATTCGATAGATTTGTTTAACCAATGATCACTTTAAAAATATTACCAGCAAGACTAATTTGGGCTGAACTTAGTATTCTAAGGTCAAAGGTCATTCTATTTTTACTACAACGTAAAATTACAGAACACTTCACAAATTTGTACGTCATCTTTGTGTAGGAACCATGCAAATCTTCTCTGTGTTGTCCAGTTTTAGGAGATGAGCTGCCCAAGCAAGCACTTCCATGTCATTAAATTAAAAAAAATGGTTTATATGTCTTAAGTTCCACTCATATAGCTACAGTTTCAGTCTTATCTCTGTGTGTAGTAGATTCAAACCCATAGAACTTTTTTTTTTTCCAAGAAGAATCTATTTGCAAATTTTGACTGTAGTTTCAAACGTGGATCTTGTGTTAAGTATATTGTGTTATAATATAAAACTGCACTAAAACTTAGAGCTGAAGAACAGAGGTAATACACCTCAGTTTTAGAGCACTTGGGACAGGAAGGCAGCGTGACAGGACGTCTCTCACTGCTGGGAGCCGGGGCAGGGCGTCTCCCTCAGTTAATCATGGTTTTGTTCAAACTCAGCATTCTGTGTTCTCAACTCACAGCTTTGTTCTCATTCCACACACTGCCACTGACATAGCGTTTCATTTCATATAAGCTTTCTTTAAAGGAAAATACATGATCTATTATTTATTATTCTTTATTGGTTGATTAAAATAGTCTGCTGAGGAGTTCTCCCAAGATTTATAATGCAAAAACGAGTGCAAAAGAAACTCCCTAGAAAAGCACATATTAAAAACACGCACAAACATGAGTGCGTTACTCTGTTGGTGTAGCCTTTGATTAACTGGACCACACTTGAAGGTAAAGCTACTAACCCCTTGCTAACCTATAACTGGAGACTTTGCTTAATTGACGAAGTCTAGATCCCTCCCATATCAGTTAATCTCTGGCATTAGGGATGACCAGTTTTTGAAAACTCCAGAACTAATTTTCTCAACCATGGTTGAAATTCATGGTGAAGAGTAAATGATTGTATCTAAGGATTCTGTGATTGGTCCAGAAGGAAGACATTCACTACAGGTTGGGAGAATCTGTCTAGCTAGGTCCTTGCACGCCATGTGCATTCTTTTTGAGACAGTGACATAAGGAAACATGGGAGGAGGAGGAGAGGAGGAAGAGGAGGAGGGGGAGAAGGAGGAGGAGGGGGATTATCAGGGAAACAAAGACATTCACCATTGAAAAATCTATGATTCTATTGGAGGATGCCAAGTACACTGGAGCTTGCTTTCCAACCTCTTAGAGAGACGATGCATTATCAGTACAAGGTGCTGGGACAAGTGGGTGGCCATCTGGGTAAAAGCAAAATTGGATCCATACCATACAGCCAACAACAAAACAAATTCCAGATGGATCAGAGAAGTGAGCATTAAAAAAATAATACTCACAGGGTAACTGAAAGACAGCATGGACTGGCTTTTTATAATCTTGAAAGTACACAAGCCTTTTATGGTATTATAATAAAAACCGAAAGCTGCAAAGTTATCTGCGAAATAACAATGACGCCAATTTTTTAAAACAGTTCTGCCTGCCTGGTAAAGGCTGCACAAACAACCAATTCCCGTAAGAGCAAAGAGAGGACAAATAAAAGCCCAGAGTGAGGAGGACGAATACTCAGAGAAAACAGCCCATCATCTTCATGCAGAGTGAACCCGTATGAATGAACAGAAACTGAAATATTACCCCACAAACACAAAGCAAACACAGGCACAAATCACAGAAGAATCTCAGAATACAGTCATCCTTTATAAGAAGACATTTGTTTTACATCTCATCATCTTAGCAAAATAAAAAAGAAATATATTGCTACCTACTCAGACTAGAAGACAATGCTATCTTGTCAAGGCTTCTAATGTCTATTGCTGAGAAGATTATAAAATTGTGACAACTATTGAGAATAATCTGCCAATAATGTATGAAAATTGCAGGTGCGAACATCCTTTATCCTTGTGACCTATTCCTAATATACAGATATATGCTCTTGGCTCATAAATCAGGAAGAATGAAGCTAATCTGGGTTAAAAATCTGAAATCTGATGCTATTTAGAAGGTTATATTATTCTGGTATGAAGAGGAGAAAGTACTAAAGCAAGGGCTAATAGATCTTATAAGTGGCACAACTGGTGATAGACATATGCATTTATATATAACTATTTTGAATATATACAAGTTATTCAACATAAGTATCAGTATTAGCTGTTGTGCCACTTCACTTACAAAACTGAGTTAGATAATACATACAAAAATAAAGACTTTTAATTAGCAGGCATTCGCAGGAAATAGCATAGTCCTACACGGAAGGATAAAGTAGGAAAAAAATGCCTAAAATCAAGCAATTTGAAGATCTCTACTTAGGGGAATTTATACTTTTGGAGCTGTAAAAGAGTCAGAATTTTTTTAAAAAAACATTTAAACTGAAAAGGATTGGAAATCATACATGGTATTTGGAAATAATACAGGAGAGAGGGGGGAATTGAGAAAGAATGGGAAGGAGTGGAGAGAGGAGAGGAAAAGAGGAGAGGAGATAAAAAGAGTTGGAGAGGAGAGGGGAGGGGAGGGGGGCAGCAGAGGGGAGGGAAGGAGAGGGGTGAAGAGGGCGGGAAGGAGATTGATTGGCATGCCTAGGACATCACAATACTCCGTCCCTACCGCACACCGCGATGAGAGGAGCCATGAATGCCCTTGGCTCTTTCCCATGCCCTGGACAGCACCTTCACAGACTTGGGGGCACAGGGCATTCTTGACGTTTTAAATTTTCACACCACTTAGAAATTCCATGAGAAGTCACAGTTCATCTATCCTGAATATCTGGGTGCTGGTGGCTCACGACTGGTGGCTGAGATCTAAGGGTCGCTGTTCCAGGCAGGAAAGTCCATTTCCAGTTAACCACCAGAAAACCAGAAGTGGCACCATGGCTCAAGTGGTAGAGTGCTAGCCTTGAGCTGCAGAGCTGAGGAACAGCGCCCAGTTTCAAGAGTTCAAGCCCCATGAGAGCCCCCACCTCCCAATCTATCCTGGGTAGTGGGAAGGAAGCCAAGGACCAAGCATGTGAGTCACACCTCCAGACTGAACTTCAACGGGCACGGAACTGGAGCCTTGGGGGCATCTTAGTAGCCCCTCTCCGCTGGTTCCTCTGTACAGCCAGGCTTCAGAATCCTGCCATGCACAAGATTCATGAATGCCCACTAGTATATCCTAACAAGTGTTAGTTTTAATTTTTTAAAGAAAAAGAAGTAGGAATTCAGAATGAACCCATTAGTTGAGGGTTGTCTCCAGTACTTATTCTAGCCTTCCTCCAGCCCACAGAAGTGAATGAGAAGTCAACTCTTCCTACTAAGCTCAGCACTGCTCACCAGCAAGCACAGTACCCGATCTAGGATACTTGTTCTCCACCCTGCTTGCGACGAGGGTTTCATACGTTAGAGTTTTGTCAGGTTTTGGAGTTGTTGCAGAGACCTTTAATCCCTTATGTGAAAATTCACAATGGTGCTGCTGTTCTGATTCCATCTCCATCCAGACAACACTGCCCTCTGACATCCCGAGTTTCTGTCTCAGCCTCGTGAATGCCACCTGTTCTGTCTAAGAACATGGTCATTCTTCATGTGCATCAGGCAATGCTATGTAGGGGTAATATGGGAAAATGTCAAGACAACTGTTTTGCTTGTTTGTTGTTTTACCAACTCATTCCTACATGACACATAGACAATTAGCTGATGCAAGGTGTGTCATCGGTGTGTCTGGATGGAGCTCAGCATAAAAGGTCCCTGTGATTTATATAGTAAACATGAATAGCATTTTGGATGATAGAAGAATATTGCTTTGATGTTGGAAAGTTCTACCCTATAGATTTTCTTTTAAAATGTCTAAAAATGCTTCTCTTTAGTAGAAGATGGCTCAGGAATGGGTAAAATTTAGTCATTCAGAAAAAAAATAACTTCTAGGAATTTACTTCTACCTCTTCCCTCTCTTCTCCTGGGGATCCCTAGCCTCTCTCTGACTCAGATTAGGCTTTCATAAAGCTTATCCTCTCATAGTGAACTTCACTGTGCATTTATTTATTTATTTATTTCTGGTTGTGGGGCCTGAACTCTGGGCCTGGGCGCTATCCCTAAGCTCTTCAGCTCAAGGCAAGTGTTCTACCACTTGAACCACAGCGCCACTTCTGGCTTTTTCTGCTTATGTGGTGCTGAGGAATCGAATCCAGGGCCTCACACATGCAAGGCAAGCGCTCTACCACTGAGTCACCTTCCCAGCCCCTCACTATGCTTTTACAACATCTACCAGGATTAACAAAATGCTATTCCAGGCCCAGTATCTCACCTAGACTCCTATGAACTCCTCATAAAGATTATTTATCATGTGGGTCATGTTGTACTGAATTATAATGAGTTAAGTCAGGCCTGTGTAAACACTAAAATCACAATTAAGAATGGCAATAGTTCAGTCCGATTGTGTTGCTGTAAGTTAGGGGATGCTTTCCTCGTCTTCTCTGTGATCAGCAAGAGCTCTCTAAGTCTTAAAATGAAGCTCTACTCAGTCATCTTCACTCACATCAACCATGGGTTTCACCATCACTGTTCATTATCTCGCTTAAAGGTCTCAGCAGAAGGAGAGAACCGTCAGCCCCCCCCCACACCGTCAGCCCCCCCCACAGTCAGCCCCCCCACACCGTCAGCCCCCCACACCGTCAGCCCCCCCCACACCGTCAGCCCTCCCACACCGTCAGCCCCCCCCACAGTCAGCCCCCCCCCCACCGTCAGCCGTCCCCACCGTCAGTGCCCCCCCGCACCGTCACGGGCCCTGCGGCACCGCAAGCCTACCTTCCACCAGGGAGGTGAGCAGCGTGACGTTGGCAGCTTTCCTTCTTCCAGCCGGCAGGTTCAAGCCCAGGCGGTCCAGCTTCTCCCTCAGGCAGCGGCCTCCATTCTTGGATTTTGCTCTGTCCAGAAACAAATTCAAAAGAAAGGACGACGTGAAGTTCCTGCGGTAAGGTCAGTCACGAGAAGCCTTGTCCACGCAGGCAGGCCAGGTGGGACGAGGGAGCGGGTGTGGGGGACACGGAGCGGCAGGCCAGGCGTCGTCTCACCTTCGCAAAATGCCTCCCAGGAGCGAAGCGTTGAGGCACTCTGGGGGCGAGAGGCGCCTCTTCACCTCCGCGATGGTCACCTTGTATTTGGACGTCGAACTGAGCAGGGACAAACGGCCAGGAACCGAGCAAAACAGGTCCGTGGGATTGACCACACAAGTGCCACCTTGGAAGGAAAGAAGAAGAACACATTAGTGGGCGTGAGAGGCAGGGAGGATCACAAGGCCACAGGAGACAGGAATAGAAAGTGACTGCTGCACAACACATTGTCCTCACAGTCTCTGATCGCTGCTCTGAAGACGACTTCTGAACACCCAGCAAGAGTCTGTCTACCCCGGATCACACGGAAGAAAATGGCTGTGAGTGCACAGCTGAAATGTGAGGGGAAAGAAATCACCATCTTATGGAACATAGGCTAGCTCACTAGAGTTGGATTTGGCACTATGACATCAAGAAATACTTCAGTTGATTAAAACACCAACTCCAAAAGATAACCCTCTCCCCAAAGTAGGTAATATTTATTCGCAGATCCTTCAAGGAAAGATAGCTTCATGTTTCTTCAAGAAAACATAGATCAGCTGGGTGCTGATTGGTGGCTCATGTCCGTCATCCTAGCTACTCAAGAGGCTGAGATCTGAAGATCATGGTTCAAAGCCAGCCCGGGTGGAAAAGTCCATAGGACTCACCTCCAATGACCAGAAAAAGGCAAAAAGTGGAGCTGTAATCCAAGTGGTAGAACACCAGCCTTGAGTAAAAAATCCAGATCAAAGTGCAAAGTCCTGAGTGAGTTCAAGCCCCAGTACCAGCACAAAGAAAAGAAAGGAAAGAAAGAAAAAAAGGAACAAGGAAGGAAGGAAGGAAAAAGGAAATAGATCACTCCCCAATCTGTCTGAAGTAGATTTGAGAGTTCATTGATGATCACCAAATACACATTTCCTGCTGCTCACTTGCAAAAACACTGAACCAATAAAAAATGTATGATCTTGGCTATATGATTTGTGGGTATAAGATGCCTTCTTCACACCTGGAGTCATTTGAGGGCAGAATTTTAAAAGCTTACTGGCAAATTCAAGCTCAAAGCTGCCTTTCTGAGACAGCAGCTTCTTTCTTGAGTTATGGGCAGGTTAAAGGGGGGAAAAAGTGGGTAGAGAGAAAAGAAAATGGGCAAGCATACGTGGTTTGCATGTCTTTGCCAGAAACATACCACTGGCCATTGGCATTCTGAGCAAGGAGGCGGTAGGAAGCAGGGCAGCCCCCATCCAATCTCAGACTTTAGGAGTCAGAATCTACATGGTTACAAGTTCGGAAGGTGGGATATACACCATTCAAGTTCAAGAAACACTGGACTAGACTCAGCCCTTGCCACCACGCCCAGCTAAGAGGCAACCTTTTTGCATTTTCTTTTAACTAAGCAGCACAGAGGAACTGTTACATCATTGGTTCTAGCAGTCAGATTCAACTACATTCTAGGCACCTCAAAAGGAAAAAGACCCTGGCTTGGGGGGCGGGGAGAGAGCAAGCTAATCTCACCCTGCTTTTCTAATGCTGACATCATTGTGCTGTTGGAGGTCCCCTGAGCTGTTCTGCCGTCCCTCGGGTTTCCCCCCAGTGCCAAGAACGGTGGCTGTCTCCCTTAGAGTGCTGGGTTGTCAGAAACCCTGCCCACCTTGCCAAAACTAGATAGAGGCTAGACAGCCCGGAATGTCAAGACAGACTCCCAGGGCTGGAAGTCAAAAATCTGCCCTAAGTTAGAAGTTGAAAAAGTTATATCTCAGTTTTTTGTGTTTGTTTTTGTGTTGGTCAGTCATGGGTCTTGAACTCAGGGCCTAGGCGCTGTCCTTGAGCTCTTTTTGCTCAAGGCTAGGGCTCTACCACTTTGAACCACAGCACCACTTCCAGTTTTCTAGCAGTCTCACAGACTTCTGCCCAGGCTGGCTTTGAACTGCAATGTTCAGATCTCGGTGTCGTGAGTAGCTAGGATTACAGGTGTGAGCCACTGGCACCCAGCTTATATCTCAGTTTTTTAAGCTAAAGCCCAACACCACTACAAACAACATATGCTCCAAGCATAAACTCACTGGCACGCCTCCTCTTTGCGTTCCTAGAGAAGTTTAAACCACAATGATGGTGAAGATAATGACGGCCATACAATTACTATTCCTTTTTTTTTTTTTGAGATTCCCAGACCAGTGGCTACCATTCACCTTCACTAATATTTTCATTTTGCTCTCAAGGGTATAAAGCGCATGAAAAAGAAAAAGAAAAACTACAGCCACTTTTCAAAATTTCAGGCAAACTGGAAAGCCAGTTAGGGATCAGGGGATCTAAACTTTAATGTAATACTCTAAGAATCTTGACCAAGATCGCATTAGGATTTAGGTCAGACTGAAGAAAAAAATATCAAACAACAAAAACGGAAATCACTGGCCAAATCCAACATGTACACATCCCTCTCCCAACAGGAGCCCCTTCCCATACTTACTATGAATCCTAAACAATTTTATATCTGCATACTTCCATCTCTCTGTACACTAGCCAGCCCATAACAGAGAAAAAGGAATCTCACTGAACTGGGATGAGGTTGATTATCATTGAGCCTAGGTATGGGTGGTTTTCCTGCCTGCTCTTGACACAAAGGGCACAGTTTTAGGTCTGTCCTAATCTTCAGTGGCTTAAAACATTTAATTAAGGGGTAGGGACCAGGGGGCAGGAACTGGAAGAGAGAGAGGGGAGGAGTGACATTGTCCAGAAAGAAACATACTCATTACCTGACTTAGAAAACTGTAAACCCGGGCTGGGAAGGTGGCTCAGTGGTAGAGCGCTTGCCTTGCATGCATGAGGCCCTGGGTTCAATTCCTCAGCCGGAAGTGGCGCTGTGGCTCAAGTGGTAGAGCGCTAGCCTTGAGCTGAAGAGCTGAGGGACAGCGCCCAGGCCCAGAGTTCAGGCCCCACAACCGAACCCCCCCCCAAAAAAAGAAAAAGAAAACTGTAAACCCTCTGCACATCCCCTTTATCACAACCATATAAAATAAAAATAAAACTAATTAATTAAGAAATGTGGATATTCATCTTTAAAAAAAAAGAAGTTTAATCAAATTCTCCTCCATTTGCTTCTGTCGAAGTAAAGTCCATGCCGGAAGCTTCGTTCCTGAGAGGGGCAGAATCTACTACCTTACCATCTGTTAACTCCCCGGACTGAGTCTCTCCTCTTATACCCAGGTTGGGACTTCAGCGCGCGCACACACGGGCATGTGGTAGGTAAGTTACACAGGCTGCATATTAAGAGTATGTGTTATGCACACACAAATTGCCTGAAGGATTTATTTTGTATTCAGTATTAGCCATCCACTCTGGAGTCTTTTATTTTTTTATGTCGCAGCATCTTTAAAGGGAATTTCTTTTGCTTTGATACTTGGCATTGCTGCAGCCTTGGGGAGCTTTTTCGTTCTGGCTAAAGATTTGGCAACTTGTAGAGTTTACAGCAACTTGGGGAATCTGATATCTTTCTTCTTGGGGGTTTCAAATTTTAGGAAAGGTAGGGGGAAAATAATAGAGTTTTGTATTTTGTCATGGAGATAGTAAGGGGCAGGAGTTGTCTAAAGGGAACTGGTTGATAGATGGACATAATGAGCTCTCTAGGATGGATGGCCATGTACGCATGGACCTCACCCAGCAATGCAAGCAGGAATACCCCATCTTCAGGGTGCCTGTGGGGTGGTGCGCATTTATGCGCTTGGCCCTCCGTACAGGTGGGTGATGTGCAGCGGTGTCGGCCACTCAGGGACATCTTTGGTGCTAGAATCATGGTGTTCATACAGAATCTTGTCTTAAAGTCAGCTCTTTTGTTTTTCCATTCATAGTGCACAGAAGCAATTTTCCAAAGTCAGTTTTCCCCCATCCCTGTTTTCTAGTAATGGGCCTTGACCTCAGGGCTTGGATGCTGTCCCTTAACGCATTTTTGCTCAAGGTTGGTGCTCTGCCACTTTAGCCACAGCTTCACTTGGAGCTTTTTTTATTTGGTCAGGTGGGGCCTGAACTCTGGGCCTGGGCCTTGTCCCTCAGCTCTTCAGCTCAAGGCTAGCGCTCTACCACTTGAGCCACAGTGTCACTTTCAGCTTTTTCTGCTTATGTGGTGCTCAGGAATCGAACCCAGGGTCTCCTGTATGTAAGGCAAGCGCTCTACCACTGAGCCACCTTCCCAGCCCCACTTGGAGCTTTTTGGAAGTCAATTGGAACTAAGAGTCTCATGGACTTTCCTGCCTGGGCTGACTTTGAACTCTGATTCTTGTCACTCAGCCTCCTCTGTAGCTGGAATTACAGGCCTGAGCCACGGGCAGCCAGCTCTCTCAATATATACTTTTTAACATCTGAAAATGTGAGACACCACTTTTCCATTTCCTGTCACGTGCAAACTCTATCCAGTAGGTACAGCAACACTGTGGAAATATTGACTCTAAGCCACTTGTCTAGGATATGGTTTTTAGACCAAAAAAAAAAAAATGAAGGAGCTTGCCAAAGCCAAGTAAGAAGCTAGCTAAACACGCTGGGCTGACAAAACCGGGAACAGAATAGACAATAAACACACACACACACAGTACACAGATCCTCTAGCCCTTGGACCTTGTTTGCACAACATGAAGTAGATGGAGGCTGCATCCCTCTTACAGCGAGCCCAGGCCTCTGCCCCTGTGTCTGTGGGCAGTGGGGGTTGGGGAGAGGTGGAGGGAAGTACTGGGCTATAAGGAGGAGCTTGGTAGAGCAGCACACCACACTTCCTTGGGTTGGGTTGTAGTTCTTTAGGCCTCTGTTGGTCTCCCCCCCCCGATGGAGGGGCGCTGTGCAGGGAAACTGGATGCTTCCACATGCCCAACAAGAGTCTCCGCACATGGCCTCGTCTGGAGCGGCTACCAGGTCACAGGGCGCGCACGCTGTCACACCGTCACACTGGTTGGTTGTCCCTGACTTTGTGCTACAACTGCACAGGCACCTGGGAGCCAGACTCCGTCCCCTCATTCCAGAGGACAGCAAGCCTTGGGCCTCAAGGACAGCCAATGGCTTCCCTGTGGCTTTAAGGCTGCTGTGAGCCACAGGCTGGGCCTGGGCAGCTTCGCATCCTCCCCTCCCCACACCTAGAATGTGTCAGCGGGGAGGGGACCCCCAAGCCCT